GGCCGGCCCTGCCCCTTTGCGCACCCCTCCCCGCCAGCCCTGCCCCGACGGCCCCGCCCACTTCTCAAGCCCCCTCCCCGCGGCCGTCCCGTCCCTCGGGGCCTTCCCCAGCCTCCCGGTCCCCTTCCATCCGGGAGCCCCTTCCCCCAGCGGCGACCCCTGCGTCCCTCGCCGCTCCCGGAAGGCCCCGCCCACTTTCCCTCCAGTCCCGCGCTAGCGCCCCTCCCCGGTGCCAGCCCGGCCCTCCCCTCTGTTGGACAGGGTGTCCCCGCGCCCACGGAGCTGGACTCAGCGGTGGCCCTGCCCGGGAGGAACTCACAGTCTAGCCGTAGACCGTGGTCAGCAGATGCGTGAGAGGGTGAGGCCCTTGGAAACTGCGGAGGGCTCCCCGGCCTAACCTGGGCTCAGGGCCACCCTGGCTTCCCGCGGGACCCCCTGCTGCTTCCGTCTTCCCCCATCCCACCCCTGAGGCTGTTTGGCCAGGCCAGTCTTTGCTAGAACGTAAGTGACGTTGAGACACAGTGACATCGGAAACTGGGTGAAGATGCAGAGGTCCGGGTCTCTGAGTGTGCCTGGGAGGGCCTGGAGGCTCCTAATGACCAGCACTCTCGCGGGTCCTGATACCCTGGCTCCTCACTTGGCAAAACCTCGGGATGGGATTCTCGAGGTAAACAGAGGCAGAGGAAGGCCCAGGTAGTGTCCTTCCCCTCACCCCCTCCTCCCCAGGACGGCAGGCTGCTGCTCAGATGAGGCTCTTTCCTGTTGGGGTTACTGACTCATCTGCTGCTAGCTACATCCTCTTTTGATACATTGTAGCTGCCTCCAAAAATTTATTCCCTCGCTGTCTTTTTCATGTTTTTGTTTCAATTACAACATCAGGGCAATGCAACAACCCTTTCTGCCCCAACACACAAAGTCATTACATCGGGGGAACGCTGTACTTTGTACATTCTTTAATTCACTGCCCCAGCATTTTTTTTTTTTTTTTGAGTTGGAGTCTCACTCTGTTGCCCAGGCTGGAGTGCAAGCAGACTGATGGCCACCACAGCCTCAACCTGCTGGACTCAGGTGATCCTTCTGCCTCAGCCTCCTGAGTAGCTGGGACTATAGGCAGCACCACCATGCCTGACTGATTTTTTGATTTATTGTAGAGACAGGGTCTCGCTGGTTTCAAACTCCTGGGCTCATGCAGTCCTCTCACCTCACCCTCCCAAATTGCTGGGATTACAGGCATGAACTACATGGCCCATGGTTTGTGATGATAGCGGTTAGTATTCATGCTAGACACTGGGCCAAGCGCATCTTAAGGCCAGTATTAGAGGTTCACAAATCCTGGAGCCAGATGTGTTTTGAACTTCAAAATACTGCAGATTTTAGAAAACTAATAGGGTGCATATAACATATATGAACATCACTTATGGGTCTGGAGCATCATCCCATAATCAAACACATTAATATTTCTGACAAGACATATGTGAATATACTGGCCAGGGCTTGGTGGCTCATGCCTGTAATCCCGTCACTGTGGAAGGCCAAGGAGGAAGGATCGCCTGAGCCCAGGAGATCGAGGCTGCAGTGAGCCGTAATTGTGCCAGTGCACTGCAGCCTGGGTGACAGAATGTGACTGATTCAAAAAAAAAATTACACACACACACACACACACACACACACACACACACACACACACATATATGAGACAGAGTACTTACACTATAAGGGAATATAGATCAGGTAAGATTTTTCTGCTAAATTAGTTTTGCATGTAGATAATCAGTTGTCCCAACAACCGTTTGTTGAAAAGACTATTCTTTCCCATTGAATTGTTTTGGCACCCTTATTGACAATTAATTGACCATAATTATGAGGGTCTATTTATGAACCTACAATTCTGTTTCTTTTCTTTCTTTTTTTTTTTGAGTTGGAGTCTCACTCTGTCACCCAGACAGGAGTGCAGTGGCACGCTTCCAGGCACCGCAGCCTTGACCTGCTGGGCTCTGGCGATCCTTCCACTTCAGCCTTCCAAGTAGCTGGAACTACAGGCACGCACTACCACGCCTGGCTAATTTTTTTTTTTTTTTTTTTTTTTTTTTTGATGTATTGTAGAGATGAGGTCTCGCCAAGTTGCCCAGGCAGGTCTCGAACCCAGGTCAGGCAATCCACTCACCTCGGCCTCCCAAAGCGCAGGATTACAGGCTGAGCCCCTGAGCCCGGCTCAATTCTGTTTCTTGCTCTGTATATTTGAGGGGGGCCCCCCAAAACCCCTGAATTTATTTATTAAAAAATTATGTATTTATTCTTACACATTTAAACTTCAGTTACCTTCAAAGTACTTTGTTTAATGTAATACACCTCTTGAGATGCTTTTTCCACTGTTCAAAAACAGTTTTTGAAGTCGTCAATTTTGATGCCTTTTATTTTTATTTTATTTATTTTTTTGAGTTGGAGTCTCTCACTCAGTTGTGCAGGCTGAGTGCAGTGGCACACTCATGGCCACTGCAGCCTCGACTTGCTGGGCTCAGGCATTCCTTCTGCCTCAGTCTTCCAAGTAGCTGGAACTGCAGGCACACACCACCATGCCCGGTTAGTAATTTGTTTTAATTGTAGAGATGAGGGCTCCCCAAGTTGCCCAGGCTGGTCTCGAACCCGAGGGCTCAGGCAATCCTCTCACCTTGGCCTCCCAAAAGTGCTGGGATTTATAGGCGTGACCCACCGCACCCAGCCTTTGATGCCTTTTAGTGCTTCTGCCATTTTTTTGTTTCACCTCTTCCACATCAACAAAACATTTCCCTTTGAGGACTTTTTTCATCAGGGAAACAAAAGTTGCTCAGGGCAAGACTAGGTGAATAGGAAGGGTGGGGCATGGAGAGGTCATGCTGTTTTTGGTCAAAAACTGCTGAACATTCATTGTGGTGTGGGTAGATAGCCTTGTAAATCACCCATCAAGAAATGGGCAAACATGTTGAAAGAATCTCCTCAAAAAATTCAGTGAAACCAAATGCAGCCTCTCCCAACAACACTAGTTGGTAAACTGGTGCCAAAGTGTCCTAGGACACTTACTTAGCAGGGAAAGCCTGTACTACAAGGGCCCGCCCTCCAAAAGAAAATTCCAGCTTTTGGGGGACCCCTTGTCATATCTATCTCTGTGTGAGTACCACACTGGTTTTTGCTTGTTTCTCTTTCTCTCTCTCTCTCCCTCCCTCCCTCCCT